AGAACAATCATCAGTATAGGATTGTGGAGATTGCTGAGTTTCACCAAAATCAAAATAATTGTTGATTATTCGATTACCTTATATATTTTCATAAGGGATAAGAAATGTTTGCTGATAATTAAGTATATTAGAAAGATATTATAAAGAACATCAACAATCAATAGTCGGAGATAACATGTGTAACCATTTGAAGGATAAATTATTTATTTTACCCTATAAACTAGAAAGTTAAATTAGTGATGTGATTAATCAATGTACACTAGCTTGTAATTGCCAGGATACCATAATTGGTTCTATTGTATTGTAAGTTGACTGATGAATAAAGTGTATTAGTATTTTAACATGTTTATACATTTCTAATAAGATTAGAGATAAACAAATTTTATACCAAAAATAAATGAAGCCGTGACCAGTGGAGTTCAATCCGTGTCGGGTTTAAGATAGTTATTCCCCTCACACAGTGGATGAAGAGTTGCGCAAAATCACGGGTCGATCGAAGTCAGACACTAGGAAGCTTGTAATCTGAGCGAATGCGCATAAATGATGCAGTCGCAGCATTGCAAACAATTTTGAGCCATCTCATTTAAAGTCTCTAACCATTGGTTACGATAATCACTCGGACCTCAACCAGGTAGTCTACATCTATTAACATGGCTAAGTCCAATTGTCAGTAACTTCATGGACTGACGTCATGTTTTGGTTTGGCCACCCTTAGGTTTTTGACACCCTAGAACACATCACTTATCGAGGTAGGCGATGAATGAACATTCCTAACATATGTTTCAAACTATTTTAGCATATTTATAATTAGAGTTAAAACTTTTTCAACTGATTACTTTAATGTAATTCATTTATGAAGTACATATTTTATGAAGTTATATTTGAGTCACATAGTGTTCATATGATTATTTGTAAGATACTACTATCAGATCCACCCTACACTTCGACTGATTAACAATGAGAACATTAACATTTCCGATGTCACGAGTAGCGAAGTGGTAACAATAAATATTTGCCAATAAGCATACTATTACACAACAGCGGGGTTACTTGTAAGTTGTTTAATTTGTAATAAATGGTTATAAATAGAAGACAAGAAAAAGGGAATAAACATCTAAATAAATAAACGTGATGACTAGATAATTTTGCTAAAAATGGAATAAGTCTAAAATAGATCAACAAATTCTTAGATGTGTCTATAAATAATTACAGTCAGTCAGAAATTTTAGCATATATTTCAATTAGATTTAAACTGATCTTCTAAACACCATAAGATGGAATATGCATTCGTGAATTTGCAGCGAATCCGTCTTCAATATTCAATATATATGCTAGGCCAAGTATTTTTTTGTTTACTTGGTAGGTAAGCGCTAAACAGAAGACAATAGTTTTCACTAAGGACTTCAGTTCAAGCTCTAATTTTCACTCTATGTGCCTTCCGCACTCGACAAGTTGTGATGAGCTACAGTGGCGTATTCGTAGAAAACATTTAGATAGGTCGAAATGATTATAATAAAATTTCCAGTGAAAACCATACTCTTATACGCAGCATTCACTCACTAAATGAACATGAAACTGTTCAAAATAGCTAGACATTGAACTTTTATTGAACACTGAAAAAGATGAATAACCTCGTACAACACAGTAAATTAACTAAAGCGATACCGATTTTATTGTTATTTTTGCTTTTAAACATAACTTTCCAAAATTTTCAGAATCTAATTCACTTCGCTTGTTCTTTAACCTATTTATTGTTCGACAACTTCAGTTATTCAATAATTTTTGACATATATCGTATTTACTATCAAAAAGATTTATTGAATGATTTCTTTATATGGAACAAAATTGTTGTTTTACTTACTGATATATTTCATTAGATTGAATTTTCAGGATAGCATTCAGAAGTAAAGAATTTTGATGAATCGCTTATGGAATTCTAATAAAGGTCAGAAGAAGTTAAAAGAATCAAGTTCTTGTCGACCATTACTATATTTTATATGATTTTTGGATGCAAAACACCTAACAATAAGTGAACAATACAATCGTACGTTAGTGGTTAAATTACTATTTTAACGGTCAATAAGTTGCAGGCTCGAATACCGTACTAATTATCTCGGTTTGGGAAAACTGAGTAGTATAAGTGATCTCCATTTACACATTATACTTTAAATCCAGTTACATAGACCTCCATAGTTTCAAAGATCATTGCCCATGGAGAAGCTGTCATTTCAAATATATTGCTTAGAAAATTATATTTTGCCTAGAAAATAAATTTCAAAAAGCAGCTCTATTATTCAATCGACTAATTAATTTATACACCATTAGTTTGTGGCTAGTAGTTGAATCAAGGATGTAGGTTTTCTCTCATTTTGAACATCTCATCTGGTGTACTGACAACCTAGTACTGATGTTCACTCTGAGATCCGAACTCAGTATACTTATCATATCAAATGCAAATGAGTTATCCAAACATACTGAAACTCGTAGCAAAAAAAGTTTGACGAGACATTCGCTCAGGATGTAAAAAAGACAGAATCAGGCCTCGAGTATAGATAACGTTATAATAAAATAAAATGATAATCATTAATGATTTGAATATAGCGCGAAGTTGTCAGTAGAAAGCACTTTTTATAACCAACATTTCGTTACAACTACTAGCAATAAATTTTCATTATTGTATTAGTCATATTTCAAATGTTTAGTTTTATTTCTGACTAATCATCATCTGGACGTACCTCAACGTATAAATAATAGTAAATATTACTGATGTTGAATATGTTAGTGACTGTTGTGATTAAATAGTTTACTAACCTTTTTTATTGGAAGTGATTGGTACTAGATTCGCAGGACAGTGTAAAAAAATATAATAAGCAGAAACATGCTTCGTACACACTAATTTGTTTTACTATGTTTACAATTTAAATTGCATAATTTAGACCAAATGATAACCTCATCTACGACTAAGTAACTTCTTTCAAATATGATATACCTAAAACGTACCGTAGACAGTTACCAAAAGTATACATTTATGTATTCTGATTTGATTGAATTTTAAACGCATGAAATAACCTCTGCTGATTTTTAAAATGATTCTATCAAGTACCTTTTATCCAAGCAACATACTTTGTTCTATATACTAAAGCTAAATGTATTAATTTTAACATTTAATAGCTAACTCGATTCACTATCGAAATTACAATTATTCGGTTTTTCTACGTTGGATTTATTAAATGATCATTCTGAAGCTCGTACAAATTCCTACTTCATTTGATAAATGATTGAAAATTAGACTAAAAATTGTTATTATTAACGTGGATAAAACACACTTTCACTAATATACTGTTTTGCACAGAAATCATTAATTGTGAATTAATTACGTTGCAATCAGATAAAATCAATATAAACTGTACATGATTCAACTACACTTTAAACAATAAATAAATGTGGTCAAGAATTTGAACATTTCATAGCATGGTTACTATTTTCTTGTACATGTAAATATTTATTTCCTATATAAAATAATACATGAATTTCCGATACAATTTTTCAATTCATGTAGAATGACTAATTTCGCTGAACAATTGATTTTAATGGTCACGTGCTTACAATACAAACTAGTCTCGTTTAGATTGTTTATGTTGCGTAAATAATCAATTAAACCCTGGTAATGTGAACAAAAATTATACTTATTATCTTCGCATGATGCTAATTTAGATTTCAGTGGAAAAGGTTTATTAGATTGATTGTAATTTGAACTAAAGGTTTAAAAAAAGACTAATCTACTTAAACTAAAGAAATTTTGCTAAGTACTTTGTAAATTTGATACCACACTATTTGTGAGTACATAAAGATACCGTCAACGGATATAAGTAAACAAAACAGGATACAAGTCTGTGATCTGATAGTTAATTATTCAAAATTCTCTAACCCGCGACATGTTCGTCTTTACAGTCTTACAAAAGTAACAGGTTGAATATTATCAAAAATCAAAACGGACAGCAAGACAAGAGACAAACACAACTTTATTCACGTAAAGAAATGAATACACACACCATCATCGCTCAACCCTACGTCTATTTAAAGAGTCTAAACTACCAAGTAACTAACAGCCTGTAAAACGAATGCCTAACTTGTGGCCTTATTCACATAACACTGGTCATGTGCCTCAAATTTCCCTCGGACCAATATACCATTTCCCCGTTGTAGAATTACTGAGTTTGGCGATACCATCCAACACTTATAATTGAAATATTCTAATCTTTAAATTAAATATCACTTAACTTATAAATATAGCACAAGTAAAACGACAGACCAAGCACCTACACACTTCATCCCTTAAAAATGCAGATTTGCTTTATAATTTCTTAACTAATAAAAATACTTTAAATCAATCACATTTCAACAATCGACAATACTATCAGCAAAACCCAATAGCAGCGTTCCTGCTTTTCTTATTAAACATAAAATTCCGTGGAAGAATGCGTTAGTTCCAACCAGCTTATGAATCAGTTTGCGTTGTTTTAATGGGGATTGTTCCCTAACTATTGACGCAGGAAAATAACAAAACACCATTAAAACTGCAGTTCATGTGATCTGAATTTAAATTCAAATAATGGAACGAAACAACGAATATACATATGTTTACAACAGAAACCCACGGATAACGTACACTACAGTAAACTCGTTCGCCTGATAATGCTAACGGAAATACCTCACTTATTCAACGTAACGTGAGAACGCATTGAGTCAGCAACAATGAAATCATAAATGCCAACTAATTTCCCATAGTGTATAACGCGTGTTAGTAAGAACAAACAGTTAAACAATAAGTAATATGCATGTACAAAATCACCGAATACATTGTTAAGTATAACATATAATGTATTATAATATAATGTTATTTCATAATTGATCGCAGTAATAATAGTAGAAAAAAAGAGAAAATATTAAATTCTTTGGAATATAAGCATAGAAGTAATGAATGTAGAATATAAACACTACTAACTCAAACGAGAACCATCTACCCATGTTTGAAATCGCACCGGGGGCAATGACTGGGAACAATTTGTTCTTGAATTGTCTTGACTATCTAGAAATCTTCGGAGCATTGGGGGAGTGGAAGAATTAGATTGGTCTTCTACATTGGGCTGGTCATCATTAATACGGCATATGTTAAATCGTGAACAAAGGTTGGCATTCGCTTTTTCAGAACAATTTTGAACAGCATCAAAACTCTCTGAGAACAATGTTGGAAAATTCATTTCACTGGATTGATAAGAAAAATTGCCTGGCTGGGAGAAAATCCCACTCGACGAATTAGGTGATTGATTCAAATGGAATCTATGAGGTTTCAAACCATTTTGAGCGATGAACATGGGATCACTAGATCGGTATAAAATATTTGACACACAATCACTAGATGACGTGCTGTTGGAGTCATCAGGTTGTCTATTGCCAGCAGGGTGTCTTTTCCTCCGACCTGGAGGAGGCCAAAATCCCTCATCCTCAGATGAAGAGGAACTTCCATGACTGAAGAATGACATCTGAACTAAACTAGGCTATTCCAGGGTCGTATATGCAATTTGTGAAATAACTCTTATCTACTACATTCTCGCTTTTATTACTTTCGTGGCGTGATTAAATGTCACTCGGACGTGCTATTCGTGTTTCTGTGTGCCTTGAGATATGTATATTCTTACTATTTCGTGTTTGCTTGTCTAAGAGTGGACTTACCCCCCTCTGAACTAACTGCCAATGAAAACCAAGCAATATTGTGCGTCAGATTTTCTAGCTCATCAATATCAAGGTCACACGTGACAAATCATGTGATCATAGTAGGTTAGACATTTAAACCAATCAAAACAAAGATGTATGCTTTCGCTAAGCCGTGGTTGGTTGATTTAAGAAATTGAATTTAAAGCGTGTTCTTTAGAGTTTGCTAGGATGATTTTAATATTATCTATGCTGGTGATAAGCGTGCAGTGATCTTGTCGAGAACGCCTCGAATTGGAGGCGAGTTCGTGTTCTTTTACCTAATTACTCATTGCATGCAGTATCATTTAATGGAATTGCTTCATCTTAGCGCATATAAGAATCGTTTGTCTCATTGTCCGATTATTTTAACATGCATCATAAGTATTAAATTTCCCTTCATCACTTGATAACGAATTATGTATGAAACACCTAGAATTTGCAGAGGTTATTAAAGAGGTAAAAATTGACTGATAGTTCATATAAACTAAGTAGATTTAGTGAATTCCGTTCTCTTATTATAACAAGATTAAATGTTTAAGAACTTCATTTATGATAGCCAACTTATATTTTATAAATTACTAATTGTGACTACGGACTTTTTTTTCTACATTTGATTATGGTTTCAAGCTGGTAGCTCATAACAATGAAGTTTAGATATATTAGTAAGGCCGTTTAGTTTGCTACCATAGATTCAGTCTATGCCAATAACATTGTTAGCTCATTGACTTCCGAATAATAAAATAGTTTATTAATTTACCTCGGTTACTTAATATTAAACCGTATGAAATAATTACAACAGTAATGACGATAGTTATAAAACACTGACAAATCAGTTATTAGTAACCGATTTCACATTACCTAGATATAATTGTTGTTCGTATTCTAGCGGGTATGAATGTAGTAGGGTCACAAAACTCATTAAAATTATCAGTATAGGGTTATGGAGATTGCTATGTTTTTATTGAGATCATGAGCCAATCGACGTTAGACCACCGAAAGCACTGTATATCTGTCTCATCCCAGTATGGGACTGCTCAGCAGCGCGCAACCATAATCCCACATACGGGACTCTAACCCAGAACCCTCAGTCTCGCGCACGAATGCTTAACCTCTAGATCACTGAGCCGTCATCCAGCGGTATCAATGTTTAACTTCAACCAGTTCATGTGACCAGTAACGTTCAACGTGTCGGGTATGAGACAGTTATCTACCGAAGATATTGGAAGGTAGTCTCACAATATCGTGGAATGGTTGAATTTAGACATTAACATCATTGGATCCTAGTTCAGTGGTCTAGAGGTTAAGCGTTTGCGCAAGACCAAATGTTCTGGTTTCGAGTCCCACGTTCAGGGTCGCGGATGCGCATTGCTGAGTAGTCCCATACTAGTACGAAACGGCTGTCCAGTGCTTCCGGGTTTTCAATGGTGGTTTAACATTGATCAGTTCATGATCTAATTAAAATTGTCTTTTTCATAGGCATAGCTTCATGCTTACCGTCTTATGTCAGAAGAAAGTACCTGAAGTCTTAGACAAGCTAATTCACTTTCAGATATTTGAATTATCACTACTTACGAAAGCAGTTACTGATGTAAACACCGAGTTTTCCAGACAAACCGACTCTCCTCGGGTTCACAACTTATTCTGTTTGAATTCCCTTAGATTAAAAAATTACAGTGAGCCTTGTATGTATGGAATAAGACAGTAGTTACTGAAATCGAATGTTTTATTTTAAATAATATACAACCCGAAAGCTGTTGAAAGTATTCCATGAAATCTCTTTGTCCCTAATAGATGGACATTTCAGTTGTAGAGACTAAGTTTACAGAAAAAGCACCAAGCAAACATATATCGAGGGTTTTTGTTTACCAATCAAATTTTTTGAAGCAGAAACTTACAAAATAAGTGGACAAACATATATATCTAACACACATACACAAACAAAAAGACTTATTGACAAACATAAACAGAAAAGCTTTGGTTGATCAATAAGGTAACGCAAACTAAAATATAATGACCTTCACCCTAATCGACCATAATATAGGGTGATCCGGATGATGATATGTTTCGTCAGTGATCTGATGAAATAATTTCTAGACACTATTAGATTAGATAGAATTTTAAAAGAAAATAAAAATTAATAAATCTACCAGATAAACAAACCATTGGATGCGCTCATAAATAACTTAGCACCATAGAAATATCCTGCTAGAAGATATGAAATGATGAAGATTAATTTTAGAACGTCGGCTGGATAACTTTTTCGAACTATAGGCAACAATATTCGATAAAATAATTAGCGAATATTTGATCGGTCTAAAAGTGATTTTCAATTGAACAAATATTCGGACACTAGAATGCTATTATTATACAAGTTTTAAGAATTTAACAATGTTCATTTTTGCTACTACATCGAATCAAATTCAAGAGTTTTAGAATTCTCGCTCAATGGGATGTCATTTTCTCAAAGCTAGAAAGTTATGGCAAACATTCGCTAAAATCCATTGATTGGTCCCATTGCTCTATTTGTTATACAATGTTGATACAGTTTTAAAATACGACAAAGGAACAAGCTAGCTGTTCAACACTGATTTTCACTGTTTATTCAATTAAAGTCACTCTGTGAAGAAAATTAGTCGTACTTAGGTCTTAAATGAAGAACTAATTATCTTCCCATCACAGAATATCATTTATATTTCACAAAAAAATCACAGTCCAACCAAAACCACCCGTTTTTACGGGGTTAAAGTATATTTTATTAGGTCTTATGTCTGAATTATTTAATTTGCGTCATGTGAAAGTACAGTTTATAATTTAAAGATACACATATAATGCTATTGTAAATATTAACTAAGGTTTATTTTCACATAGTGATAAAACAAAAAACTGCTATTGACGGCGGAAAGGGTTTTCACCGTTTCTGTTATGAAATCTATAACGTCCTGGAAGACAACTGTTATATCGATTTCTATAGTTTCCCTTAATGGCTTGACCTAATTAATACAACTATTGAGAACCATTAAGTACTGAACAGGTGTTACGTCCCATTATGGAACTCCTCAGTAGCGGGCATCCGGGACTAAAACTGGTGTCGAACACAAAGTCTTCAGTCTAAACGGCAAGAGTTTCGCATTCAGATCACTAAACTACCATACATTGATTCACCCATCTAACTTCAAAGAATCCGTAATAGTGTGTAAACATCTATCAATCCAGGTGGTGTGTAACTGCATCAAAAGTGACCTAGCTGAACCTCAATAATCACGACTTCTTATCAGAACTCTAGGAATGCATCTAATTGTAAGGTATTTACATAACTTCAACTGCAGAACTCAAGAGGTTGTAATTTAAGCAACTTTTCTGTATGATATATGAAACATATGCAAAATATGACCAATTAAGTTTACTTCTATATATATTAATTTATATCGAAGAAATTCATAAAGAGACCATTATAGGTTTATGATAAAAGTTCCAATTTATTTTTTATTAATCTCATGAGTCAAATGAAAATGTAAATCATAATAATAAAATATATTGGGTTTCATAAAACCAATAAATAATCAAAATTTTTCCACATGTCTACCGATAAATATTAAAACTGTATGAACAAGTGATCGAGTTTTAATTGACAGATAAAAATATTGTGAATCGTTATTTTATATAATCCCAAGTCACTAGAAAGCCTTGGAAATAGGTTTTTGTGATAGTTAACATTCTTAAGCAAAGGATAATTGAAAACTTGAAGTAATTAATACTTCCAGTGGTGCTCGAACTAGAGTCACTTGATGTCATCATCAGAGATATGGATATTACTGGAATCGCTCCATTCGATTTTTTTGTTCAGTAAACTAAAAAAGACAAACATATTACTGGAATAAAAATTTCAATACATTTATTAATGGAATTTGTACATAATGGTTTATCTGGCTAACGTATTTTTTAGTATTGCTCTTTTTTTGTGAGATGGGATTGTTAACCCCTTGTCTAACCCTTCTCTACTCGGGCTTGGTACTAGCAGTAACCTCTGAACGGCCTCAGACAGAGTTTATGTATAATGAGTATACTGATAATATTACCGTTACAATCTTTGGAAAATTGAAGAAATGTTTGGTTAGCTACTAAATGTTTAACAGGATGTTAGTAAAGAAAATAAGACGATTTATTTTCATAAGTGAAAGTACGGTACATGATAACTGTAGATATGATTGTAATGAGTAAAATTGTATGCATCTGGCATATAGCGTTAAGAAAATATAGAGCAGAAATAGTTTACTAATTTTTAATGAAAGTAAACGATTGTGTTGTCGGTTATATAGTCGATGAATAAAATTATTTCTATCAATATTTGCACCAGAATTGCGAAAAGTCGAAATTGAACCACTGAACTCTGAGTTATGACGTAGCTCAATGTTTTTTAACCTGTAATCGAGTATATCATATCACTTTGTTGTCCATTCAATGATATATTGTGTTACTTGAAGGATTAAAACATTTTATATTGAAATACGGTCACCTGAAGTGGAAAACATTCAAAGAAATAAAATCAAAGACCTACTCTAATCCACCGAAAATGTTCAATCATAAACAAATACAATGATTTGTGCCAGTCATTAGAAGAGATATATATTTTGTAATTTGATATACACTCCTCTTCTCTACGCTATAAACTTTACGCCCGACCAACTCTTAATTTCACTGAATAATCCTAGGACCACTAATTGGATTACTCTAACTACCGCTGTTTTTTTCTCATTCAGTTCTCAACCTCATACTAATCATTTGATTAACT